AAGTGCGAAAAGGGGTGTGCCAAGGATTTTTGGGGAAAGTGGGGGTGGAGTCCCAGGTTGGAACTGAGATCTCCTGTGGCAAGGTTTCGGGAGCATAGGTGCAATAAGACTAGGAGCGGGTTACCTCCGGTCTGATGGCGGTCGCTTGTCGTGCAGCCATAAAGCAGATGGCATGCGTGGGGCATCAAGTGTCGTCCGATCCGTCTGTTTTGGTGACGGCGGTTCGGGAGAGGCCCGTTCGTGAGGGTTGTGATTCCTATGAGTCGGACCTTCGGGTACAGACACGTGGTGTCTGTCGCCGTGCGTTATGGTTGGGTTCCAAAGTTCCAGGGGTTCGGCGGTGTCCGTGTCGTCTGCAGTTTCTGCACGGCGTGCGGGGCCAATACGGGGCAATGGAATTCCACGGTACCACCGTGAGTTGGTGATACGGGAGGAGGAGACGGAAGGGAGGGAAATTGGTAGTGATAACGACGAAGCCGGGGGATATGAAGTATTGCATGTTATATGTAGTGGGGTAATCGGGGCACCTTGGATCACTGGTTACGGCACAGCGAAACTCTTTGGGACACAATCGATTCTCGGTGAGGCAGGGAAATTTTGGGCACCTCTGCCTAAGATATTCTCTTACCCAAGGTTCGAAGTACTCTGAGGCCGCCTCTGTGTACGTCATATTATCATCGCGGTGTAGTGGAAGTCTTCCGCACGTATCTAAGGGGATTTCCCGATACGGTATCCGAAACTCCTACCAGTATGGGTGCATGAAAGAAGGTAGATTTCCCCACCTGCCGGTGGTGCCAGGTTCGTTAATGATCGCGAATTGTCGCGCGTGGATACGTGTGGGCTGCGCAAATTAGATCGCGCTTACACGTATCCCCGTGGGGTATTCGCTTGTGCCCGAAAAATGTGAGAGTTTAATTCTTCATGCAAAATCGCCACGTGTCATGGACGGCTACCCAATCATCTAATCACTCAGTAATCCCAGAAACATTCATTTTCAAGCATGCAAGGTGTCATTACACATCAGACATCGCAGCAACATCAGAACTTCCTATTAACAGCGGGTCAAGGTGACAAGCAATGATGATGACTAGGCAAAAACGACAAACATATCATTCATTCATTGCAAAGCAACATCTATGCAATCAAACACTCAGTAGGAAGGATTACATTTAATTACAGGTGGATACAGGCTGAAACCGAGACAAAAATGCCAAGAACAAAAAAACGGGCGAATCACCCAAAACCCAGATCAGAATTTATACATAAAAGTTGGGAAGGAAAGACAAAGAAAATCGCAAATCCACGTCAATCAGCCTCAACTCTCTCTCCTCTCTCTTTCTCTCTCCAATGCGGATAGTCCATCGTCACGCACCAACCCACGAAGTCGTCACCCCGCTTAGTCCTCCTGCACCCGTCAGGCTCGCCCGCACGCTACGGTCCGTTGTAGCCCCACGTGTCAACCCCGCGCATTCGGCACCAGCTCGTCGGGTCACCCGACTTCCACTTCAACTCACCTCTTACTTCGCTCGTGAGCCGACCCTCACTGATCGCGCTACCCCGAGCTTCCAACAGCTGGTTAAGAGAGCTATCTAATCGCGTAGCTCGAATTTATAGCGTGCATGCATGCGCGAAGAACACGAAATTGCAAGGACTTAGAAAGGAGATTAGGAGAGGGAGTGCCTACGTTCTGCATGGCCAGACCGCGGCGTGGGGGACGTAGTCACTCTCCACGCATCGATCCGAGCATGCAGGCTGGCTAACTAGGCACAGCAAAAGGAAAAGAGAGAGCGAGAAAGACGAAGATCAAGAAGAAAGATACAGTTACAATGGCGCCCGCCCAACCGCAAAAAGAAGCGCGCAAGCAGAAGGCGTTGCGCGGCAAAATAAATCACAAATTCCTAAATTCCTAGCTAATGCAAAAAAAAGTACAAATTTTGAAAAGAAAATCCGAAGTTCCGAGAGCCGTCAAGGCTCGACAAGATTCAAAAGGAAAAAGAAAATTCGAAAAGAACGAAGCAAAATTCCCGTGCGATCTCCGCGCCTAAAATCCGGCAACAGAACAGGAAAGAAGCGACGTTAAACATCATTAATCCCGCCTTTGTCGGCGCGACATCCACTCAATCGGCCATCTCGAGACTTGCCCGGCCCTGAACCCAGCCATCCGAAAAGAAGCGACGCAAAAGACGAAAAAGCGAGGACACCGATGCAATTTCCCCTCAATCCTGATTTTCCGTAATTGGCCCAACCTTCCCATCTTAGGACCCCTCATTGCCATCGCGCAGAAAATCGTGCGGAATAGAAATTGGTTCGTCACATGATGCTACATGCTGACCATGGCTGGTATCGCCAACCTGCTGTAACAGATATCGCACTTGCGGCTGTGTGCAACTCTCACATGAAACCTCGTTGAAGGCTTGAGCACGGATGTGGCTGCTACAGTGTTCCTTGGCCCAGCGGCCTAGCTCAATTGATAAGGCACACAAGTGGCACTCGGGCAGTCTTGGGTTCAATCCCCATTGGCCTCATGTACCTTCATGGGCAAGCTTGGCACCCGCCACCTAGAGGTAGGCCGTTGGTCCCCCCCAGCGGCATTGAGTAGAAACTGCCGATGTTCGTGCGGGGAGGGGACCGGAGGGGAGGCATTGCAACTGGCCCATCGAAGAAGTTTGGTCCTGATGCTACCAGTTGAACCCTAGCCAATATTGCCCACCTGCTGAAGCAAGTATGACACCTGCTGAAGCAAGTATGACACCTGCTGGTGGGTGCAACTCCCGCATGTTCCCTCGTTGAACACAGAATCCGATGTGGCTAATACAGTGTTCCCGCAATACCATAAATTTAAGTCTATAATGATAATTGAAAG